CTTCATTGAGGCTAAGGGAACTATAACACAATCGTCTGATAATTTGTTGACAATTAATATTCTATAAGGACTAATTGATCTTTCTTGGCACGCTTAAAATTACATTATTAACTTTCGAAAGTCAAAAAGTCAACAAGTAATTTGTTTTTTTATAATAAAATCTACATATTTATTAAAAAAAAAAATTAAGCTTGGGTAAAATTTTATATATTTATACTCAAAACTATTGCATTAATATTAAGATATATTTATGTGTGAAGAAAATATTTAAGATTGAATTGGGTTAGACCATGGGTCATGTCATAGCCCTATGCTTGGATTTGAGTAAGAAAATTGATCAGTAATTGATGGATTAATTAGTTGAAATATTTAGTAAATAATTAAATTAAATTTTATATTTAAATCATATTATTGTTTTTCAAGTTGTAATGTGCATGGAGTAACTTGAAGTTGGTAGAATTGGGTTAGACACTAAATGTTGTGTTTAGTTAGGGGATTTGGGAAGTGATTTAAAAATGAAAAGGAAAAATGTAAGTAAAATATGAATAAAATATACTTACATTTTACCTAATTTCACACATATTTACCCTTCTCTTTTTCCTTTCCAAATCTCTGTCTAAATTTCTCCACCAAATACAACGTAAACACAACCCAAAAGCTGAGTTTAGGTTGATTTATATGCAAATATATCTTATTCCAACCCTAGTAATTGAAAAATTATGTCGCTTCATGTTCAACCTATAAGTTACTTAGTTTATTTATTTATATATTCAATTTAAATATTTGTTAATTATTAATTTAAATTTTATATCTACAATTTTCAAGTTTCCATTTTATATTTTTCTCAATAAAATTAAGATGAAGAAATATCATTTTGCAATTCAAATAATTATGTGATACTTAATTTGACACCCAGGCTTTGTATTATTTTGATTTGATACCAAAACTTTTTCAAATTGGATCAATTTATCCCCCGTTGTCTGTTTCCGTCTACAATCAAATGGAATTCACTGATGTAGTACCAAATTTCATTTGGAATTTCATTTTGCCACCCAAACTATATCTTAAAAATCAATTAGCCCCCAAATATTTTTTTAAAAAAAATTATTTAAATATTTAATAAATATTTTTTTATATCAATAATGAAAAATAATTTTAAGTTATATACTTTGCAAACATATATATATATATATATAAATCCTCATTTGGAATTATCTCTTTCAGTCTCAAATTATCTCGAGTTGGTCCTGAATAAACTAATTAAGCCAAAAATTTCTTGGCATCTATGTGTACACGCACGCACAATTGTAACTAGTTTATTTCTCAAATTAATTTCAATAGAATTGATCGGCTAATAGTAATTTCAAAATTGAGTGGGTAAAAAAAAAATTTAATTCAATTATTACTCAACATGACTAATACTCAATTTTTTTCTAATTTAAAATTTATTTTTTTTTCATTTTTGAGATGAAAATTAAATATTTAAATTTATGTTTTTTAATATTTGGGGGGCTAGTTTGTTTTTAATGTATAGTTTGGGGGGTAAAATAAAATTTCAAATGAAGTTTGGTGACACATCAGTAAGTTCCGTTTGATAGTAGACGGAAATAGATGATGGGAGATAAATTGATCAAATTTTAAAAAGTTTAAGGGTCAAATTAAAATAATGCGAAATATGGGTGCCAAATTGATTTTCGCGTAGTAGTTTGGAAAACAAAATAATATTTCCTCGATTAAGATATGAGACTTGAATTTTATAACCGTTGGCATTTCATTTATATTTTTCTTAAGAAAAATTTCAAATTATAGATACTTCAAAATTCACAAGGACTTTCCTTTTAAAATAAATGCGACTTAGGAATGGTTTTGTTTTAAAATTCTATCTATTGTTTATTTATTTATGATTATTATTATTTTTTTAAAAGTTAGATATGGCTAGATGTATTTTATGTCACATGTATATTTTAATTTTCACAAAAAATAAATTGAAATTTTTATCAATATCATAAAGTAAATATGTTCAAATTTTAGACTAAAATTATAATTGGAATTACTTTTGAATAAAATTATATTTGGATTTTTTTTTAAAAAGATTTTTCAAATTTCAATTTAGGTATGGGTATAAAACTTTTCTTCTTCTTCTTTTTTTTTTTCTTCTTTTTTTTTTTGAGTTTCCATATAAAAAAAAATTAAATTTAAAATTGTAGATATAGTTAGCATTGATAATAGATGCCATAAATAGTTTTTAAATTAATAAAAAGTTATCCATTTTAATCAATCAATCAATTAGCACTTTAAAGTTAAACAACCAATGATAATATGCCATGTATATTTATATAATTTTTAATTTAAAAAATTTATGAAAATAGAGTTAAACTTTAGAGATCAAAGGCTTAACAACATTTTTGCTTAGAGGTGTTGGATATATTTTCTAAGATTTATTCTAATAGTGAGGTTGAAAAGGAGGCAGGCGGTGATTGAAAAAATACATCATTAATAAAAGATTTGAGGGTAATACATGTAGGAAGAAAAAGTTGGGCAAGTCTGCAAAATACACGTAGGAAGAAAGAGTTGAATGGGTTTGCAAAGTCTAATAGTTCAATTTTTTTTTGTTCTTCCTTTTCGTCAAGGTGTCAAGAGCAAAGAAAAGTCTAAAATGGTGTTTTTCGTCAAGGTGTCAAGAGCAAAGAAAAGTCTAAAATGGTGTTTTACAAAAGGGTGAAAATTCGAAGCTTGGGCTGGTAGTTATAGAGATGAAGTTGTCCTGAGAAGTAATTAGGGAGGAAAATACAACTACAAAAAATGAAAGTTTGAAGAAATAGTTCAAAGTGAAAGATCAATACTCTTGAAATGAAGGTTTTGGGTGTCAATTTCCAACCACACTGCCAAACGGGTACTCAGCTGGAGAACACTGGCAAAATAGATTAATCCTCGAACGACCTGCAACAGAAAGAAGAGATTCCGGCAGTGGTTCGTCCACCCAGGGGCACTCCGACGATCAAGTCAGTTATCTCTCAAAGATAGCAAAAATACTTAACTCACTATTCAGAATATAAAAAGCGTACCTTAAACCCATGCGGTTGCCTCTCTTTTATAGCCAACATAGGCCTAATCCCAATAGAAGTCTAGCTTCAATGGATTCTATCTTATTGTCAATCTTGGACTCCCAGTAGGATTGAGATAAACTCTCTAAGAGTCTTATCTTTATCCAAACTGAAATTATCTCCCAATCTAGGACTCTTGTCCCTTATCCGCTTATCTTGGATTCCGGTATTCTCGTAGATAACCTTGTCATAGCCGAGATTACCTCAGCATCATGTCCAGGACACGTGGCACCTCTGCTGACACTTCGGTGCCATCTCGGCCACGTGTTGTCATTCAGAAATTACATCCCACAACTGCCCCCTGCCCCCTAGGTTCTATTACCTCGGCATCCTGAGGTGATGGAACCTATATCATTTCCTCCACTTAGCATGTCAGCTAAGCTCGCTTTATCCTTCATTACGGAGGTCATCATTCGTTAGCCCCATTCGACCAAGACCTGTTAATCTGTTTTCATCAATGCCTTAGGATAAACAATCAAGTCGATTCAAATTATTTAGCCGAGATCATCCTCATAGCCGAGGTCTTTGCTTTATTTAAACCAAGAACTTCAAGAGTTTCAACACACGTGTGAACTGTCATGCATAGTATTTCAACCGTTTCTGCCATGCGTCTTTCCCCTACTGAGTCGTACTTGACACGCGCCATTAACTTGTATCGCTCATACGTGCGCCGTCTGACAAGCACGTCGCCCTGGGCACGTTGATTGTAATTGTGCCGCCATTTCGTGGTTTTGATCAAAATCATTTCTCTCTCTCTCTCTATCTTTTCACTTTTGCATCTCCGTTCTCATTCAAACTCTCTCTCTCAAATCCTTCATTGCTGCTTTCGTGAAGCTTTCTACAACCAGTTCCATCCTTCCCCTTCAGCGAAGCTTTTGGTGATCTTTTTCGATTATTGCCGTCATCTGACTCCGACGTACTCAACACCGGCTTCATTTTCTTCGATGAGTCACTGTTCCTCCTTGTTTCTATTTCTTGTTTTACTCCAAAAGAATTTCTCTGCTGTACTCGCTACCTTTGCGTACTTGCTCATGTCTTTTGATCGTTAATTTGTGCCTTGAATTTCACCATGTGTTGAGCATGTTTGTTTCAAGATTCTATTTTTGCCCAATCCATTCTTGAGTATACACACACTGCTTACATATCTGTTGATTTTTTCCATTGTTCTTGGCCTTACACACCTGCACAAACTTTATCACTATTCTTGATTCTGAATCATTGTTCTTGTTTTTGTTTTCTGTGTCTTTTCCAGATTCTTGCCTTCAATCTTTATTTGCCTAGACTTAGGTTTGGGATTTGTCGTAGAACTCACGAATCTTAGGGAAAACTGAAACGAATTCCCCTTAGATCCTAACAAATTCTTACTCCAGCACACATTTAGGTTTTGGCCAAGGTCCTTCAAACCCCTACAAAACACGTCCTTCTGAATCCCAACACTTTCCCCTTAAGTCGATATCATGGGTATGTGGAAGTATAGAGTAGACACCCCATCCAAGTTAGAAAATTTCAGGCAGGAGTTTTCCATTGCTACCAACGTCCATCTCAGGTTGGCTGGGGAGGATGACTCCATCATGCCTACAGTCGATTCCATGGGCTTCCTAGTTGTAGCTTTCATAGAGTTTGGGCTTAGGCTCCCTCTTGACATACTTTTCCAAGAAGTCATCTATTACTACAAATTGAACCCAATGCAGCTCGCCATCAACTCTTATCGAGTTATTAATGGCATAATAGCCTTAGCCAAAAAAAAGAACGCTAGGGTTACTCTTGCCGATATCCAATACTACTATACCATGTGTGGCCTCAAGTTAGAAAAAGGCTACATCTACTACCTCAAACCGAGGTCCACAGAATACAAACTTGTTGCCAACTTCCCAGACTCCAACAAGGGAGCCGGGGATGATTACTTCATTGTCTGGGGCAACTAAGAGTTCCTTCCAGATGACGACCTTCACCTCTACCCTCTTAGCCGTACATTGTTCAGAGAGGGAGATGGTAAGAGCCAAGTGTTTTCTTTTTCTTGCTTTGAAGTCTTTCTTACTTTGATATTTTTGTATGTGGTAACCTCCTTTCATTTTTATCTTTGAAATTTTTCCTCAGCCCCTGGTGGACTTCCGAAAAAACTTTTACCCCAGCAAGGATTTCAACAAGTTGCTGGACTTGCCTATTAACCAGCGTAGGGCTCCTCTGCTTATGAATTTCATCCCGACTTACAGATCTCTTCTTCCCGATGTCCCAAGAAAAAGCAAGAGCAAGTCTCCTCCATCAGCTATAACTCCACAAGCTGAGTCGTCAAGGCCTGACCAAGGATCAACATTTGATCCTACGGAGCAGCCATCTACCTCGGCTCCACAACTAATCCCTCCATCTCAACGCAAATGCCGATGTAGAACTGTCATTGCCGCCGAGATGGGTCGCAAGAAAGCTGTTGCAGACGACCTTCTGGCCGACATCTCTAACACTGTCACTGCTCAACCTTTACCATCCCAATCCCAGCCGAAACCAAAGCCCAAAAGGCTAAAGAAAGCACAACCCAAGGCAACGGCGACTCAGATCGACTCTGAGGACACCTTATCGATCTCTAAAATTGCTGAGGTAGAAAAAAGTACCTCCGCAACCGAAAAAAGGCCTACCGAGGCCGCGCCTTCCGAATTGACCAGGTCAAAGAGACTGAGGTCCGAATCAGCAACAACCTCGAGCTCTCTGAAGTCTAATGCCCCCTGGGCTCCCCCAATTATAATTGAGGACAAGCTGGTTAGAGCTGGCGACAGCGCCGACGACATTGAAGTCGGTGTTTCTCTCTCAACCGCCTTGCTTATCCCCAAAGATCTCATTCGCAACGCCGAGATGAGTGAGTATGAAAACTTCGCTCTAATGTTGCAGCACTCCGTCCAAGTAAGCCCTTAACACTTGGTACTTTTTCATTTTCTACTATTTCATACTTAGAGAGTTTTACTAACTCGTTTTTTCCATTTCTTCTAGGCGATCCAACATGGCCACTCCTTTACGATGCAAGCCTTTGCCATCAAGAAGGAGTTGGCCAATAAGACTAGGGAGGCTGCTAGCTTGCAGAAGATCATCAACAAGGCTGTGACAAAGATAAACACCTTGACAAATCAGGCCGAGGTAGCCAAGAAGGCTCAGGACAAGGCCGAGGAAAAGACTGATGTTGCAAAGGCCATTGCCAAGGTCCTTGCGGCCGAGAAGAAAGAGGCTAAGGCAAAGATGGTCGAGGCCCAAAAAGAGCTTCAAGATGCCCTAGCCACAAAAGAGGCCGAGATCAAATTGGCGGACGAGAAGGCATACGCTGAGGGGGCGACCGACATCAAAGAAGATTGCAAGAAACAAGTCAGACATGCATGCAACAAGGGCTATACCCTTGGTTGGATGGCTGCTTTGAAAGGGTTGGCCGTTCCCGAGGACTCGCCTCTCCGAGAAAACAAGCACATCGTCCTACCATTCCCGCCTACTCCAAGCCAATCCGAGGACGAGGCTGAGTCCGAGAAGGAAGCTGAGGCTGAGAAGAACAAAGAGGCTTTTGGGACCAATTCCCCAACTCTGAATGAGCAAGTCTTGGACTTGACTCAGGGTAAGGAAAACGAGGTCTCAAAAGAAGCTACCCCTCAGAAGACAACATCTGACGCACCTATCATCGAGAAGAGCATCGACCAGAATCTCCAAGAGATTGATGCTGAGCTTGCGGCTGAGAAGGCTGCCGAAAAGAGTTCTAAGATGTCTTTCGAGCCCCAAACCGATGCTGACGCCGAATAGTCTAGTCTTGATGTTTTTCCTTCGTTAATGTGAGCTTTAATTTGGCCGACGTGCCATTTTTGTAGTCTGAACAATTTGTTTTCAATGTTAGGCCGAAGTGCCTTCTTTCCTTATCTGAATGCAAGTCTTCTTTTTTTTTTTACGATTCTTTGTATGCTTGTCTTTTCTTTACTGTCTTGTATGATTTCATACTTAGAATAATTTACATGTCTTCAATGTACACCTTAACTGTGTAATCTTCTCAGTGTGGAATACTTCGGCTATGCCCACTAACAGTTTATCTCGGCTTTGACCTAACACTTGAAAATATTTCTCATAATATTTTTACAAGTGTTATTTGCAACTTGCCACTTCTGTCTTCCAATATCTTCTAAGTCTTGGCAAGTACGTAGGTCTTGGCAAGTACGTAGGTACTTCTTTCAATACAGCCTTGGCTTAACTTGTAAACTTTTCTAAAAAATTTCAACAAGTGTTAAACTAATCTTCCTTTAGCGTGACCTCAGCTTAACTTCAACTTGTAAAAATTTCAACAAGTGTTAAACTAACCTTGGCTTGTAAATTCCAACTCCCAAGCATCATTCTCCAGCTCTCTGCCCCCTAATGTGAACCTAAGTTCCACTTGGGTTCTCATTAAGCATGTGGCCTTGACCTTGTTGCCGAGGTCAGATTCAAACAAAGAGTGGCCGAGGTTACCAACCTTGGTCTCTTTGTTAATCTGATTGACCTGTACTTTGTTCCAATCTGTGTTTGACTCTGCCGATATGGCAAGTTCAAGTTGATTCAACTTAGTTTAACTCTATCATATGCAAGTAGGAACTTCTGCCATATAATAAGTCTAAGTTATTTGTCATGTTCCAATCAGAAACATCGCCAACTTAGTTCAACTCTATTATATGCAAGTTGAAACTCTGCCATATAATAAGTCTAAGTTATTTGTCATGCTTCAATCAGAAACATCACCAACTTAGTTCAACTCTATTATATGCAAGTAGGAACTCTGCCATATAATAAGTCTAAGTTATTCGTCATGTTTCAATCAGAAACATCGCCAACTTAGTTCAACTCTATTATATGCAAGTAGGAACTCTACCATATAATAAGTCTAAGTTATTCGTCATGTTTCAATCAAAAATATCACCAACTTAGTTCAACTCTATTATATGCAAGTAGGAACTCTACCATATAATAAGTCTAAGTTATTCATCATGTTTCAATCAGAAACATCGCCAACTTAGTTCAACTCTATTATATGCAAGTAAGAATTCTGCCATAAAATAAGTCTAAGTTATTTGTCATGTTTCAATTACAAACATCGTCAAGTGACTGGTTAGTCAAATTACACAAGTTTTAAAAATCAAGCTAAAACTTTAATATTACTTCGGCTAATAACAAAAAACTTTAAAAAAATAAGAAAAATCTAATGATAGAAAAACTTCAGATTGTAAGTATTCCAGGGCCTTGGCAACTCTTTGCCTTTGCTGTCTTCAAGCCGATATGCCCCATTGCCCAATACCGAGATGATTCTATAGGGTCCCTCCCAATTTGGGCCAAGCTTTCCCTCTCTAGAATCCTTCTTGTTGCCAACGACCTTTCTCAGGACGAGGTCGCTGACTTGGAACTCTCGCGGGTTCTCCTTCTTATTATAAACTCTAGCCAGCCGCTGCTAGTATGCCCCCAGTTGAATTGTTGCTTCTGCTTCTCGTATGTTGCAGATGGATTTCATTGCTGTCATGGAGCAATTCTTTGCCTGCACTTGATATCCTATGACCTCCTCAATCTTGTAGACGTCCCCGAGCGTCCCGGGAGAAATCCCGTTTTGTTCATTGGGCTTACTACAGTTCGGACTCAAATGTCACGGTTCTTAATCTGATCTCGCAAAGTGAAATCCGAGATTGATAGATCACCAAAGAGTCCAAATCCGGCAAATCGCTTTGAAAAACTGATTTTTAGAAAGAAGTGCCAAACATGGACTGCTTCGCCAGATACAGAGTCGCCACCTAAATATTTTATTTTGGAGAAATTTAGGAAACCCTGACTCATGCCTAAGACCGCGTGTCTGTTATCACTAAAGTTGCCTCGGCTTGAGAACTTGGGTACGATTGGGGAAGGTTATTTCATGAGCACCCCCGCTCGCCCGATCAAAGATCGGCCACTACTAAGCATGATATCTTGTTTTTGAAAACACATGTGCTTTTATTCTGGTTATTAACCTAGAATTACTATGGGATGCGCACAGCACACAAATATAGACTAGATTGCCTGAGTTGGAACAAAGCATCACATATCCGTTTGTTTTGAAAATAGATTGAAATTTGCTACTCGCAAGTAGGCTAAAACACGGGTTTCGACGAATTATTCCAATTCAAGTAACCCAACCTTCACCCACAGGCATTCAGGCAGTTATATCACATATGCACATAGTCTCATGGTAAGCATGTTATCATGGTAGTCACTCACACGCATGCAAGGATGCTAAAGCATAAACACTTACCGAGTACTCCGAGCCAAAGAAATAAGCTAATTAGAAAACATGCATGAATCCTAACTATGCTGAGATGCCTAATGCAACACATGCAAGAATGCAACTAAGATAGGCTCGGCTATTCTAAGATGGCATATGAGATGCTACAGATAACATGTATTCAACTTAGAATTGAAATACGATGCAGTTAGTATGATGCGCCGAGCCCGGTGCATGCAAAACAGATGAATGGATGCAAACATACGAGCATAAGGATGCCAATTGAAACGTGCCCTAAAACTAACCATCATAAGCTAGTAAACAAAAGGGAGGAAGACGTGGAGTTGGAAGACATACATCACACACACGCACACTTATTACAACATTGCCCTCTCTCGGAGGGTCTGAATAAATAATACAGAACCGACTAGCTAATCTAAGCTAATTAAACTAGTTATTACACAACTGAAATGAATAATGAATTACATATAAATATTACACAACATTAATTAATTAACAAATTAAACTAAGGAAATAAATAAATTAGCATGCAAGTTACATGAAATGGACTGCCTCAGCTCTGTTCCGAATGATAAAGGATGCATGCATGCTCGAGTCGCCTTGTCGGGAAATCCATCGCGATGTCCCGGCTCGCCTTTGTTTGCAATTGAATTCAGAAACTTGCACAAAGCTCCGAGGAGATGAAACTCCACCCAGGGAAGCTGTGGGAAGGCTGCCGACCAAGCTATGGACAAGGGAGACCACCAGCCGACCACCCTTGGTGGTGAAGACCAGAAAAGGTGGTCGGCCAGCCAGAAAACCTGGTCAGCCGACCAGTTCATTCTCCTGGTTTCTGCTTTTTCTGCAACAAAGGCAAGAGAGAGAGAAAGCAAGGTATTTTCAACATATGTGTGCCTGACCGTTCTCCCCATCATTGCACAAGCTCTAGGGAGTGTAGTCCTCAATCCTCGCGCCATCAATCACGCATCCCGATGCATGATGACCGAGGGGTCGAATCGCACGACTCAATGTGAAATGAATGCACATGTAAACACCTAAAGCCAACAACTCTATCATGGATAGTCAAGAGTGTCAGTGACCAAGAATCGAGGCACGTTTCGTCACTTTGAGTACAAAACGTCCCTCGTTTCCCGTGTTTGGACTAAACCCTACTCCAAACAAAATGTAACAAACAATGTATGGACAAATGCAACTCTAGCATGCGATCTAAATGCAATACAAGTAAGTGATGCGAAGATGCACAGAATGACATGCAAGCATGCAAATGGCATACACAATGCTATGAACTAATCAATGGCATACTCAATACACATGGATTATATGGCATGCATACACAATGCACTAACATACGCAATGTTATGAACGAGGCATACGCAATGCAATGATTAAACATGTGACAACATGGACTATAGGGCATACACAATGCAAGATGGACTTAAACCAAGATGGATGGGCCTCGGCCATACCCAAATCAGTGGCCAATATGATGAAAATGAGGCAATAAGGTACATGCAAACATGCACAAATGTAAGGGAACAAACCTAAGGAACAAAGTGCAACTCTACCAAAGCATGAAAAGGATTAAATATGGCATACAATGACACATGTTCCAGCTCTGAAATGACATGCAAGATGGTCCCGAATCATGCGAATAACTCACCCGATGCATGTTGGATGACACAATTACCGAAACTAGTGAAGTGCATTACACTAAAGGTATGCAAAGCGATGCCCAAATGACCAAACTAACCCCAAATAGTCACTATGAAGACCCAAAACAGTGGCAAAATTGACTAAAATGATGGCTTGCAATGCACAAAAATGAAGCTCATGCAATAGCCCAAAAATGAGGCATACAAGTATGACTCTCAAACACATTTAAAGAGTGGAAAACATGAGAATATGGCACAAGTATAAGCTCTTAAATAACATGTTCAATGATGCCAAGACATGAAAACAACTCAAGTTAAGCATGCAAGAGGCTTTAAAACTCGAAGCTAGGCAAGGGTATTACACTACAAGCATGCATGGCAAGCATTATTCGACCATGGGACCTCAAAACAGAGCTAAGGCAACCCAAATCATAAATAAAATCAGTTTAGAACATGGCCAAAATATGCTAGAATCAAGGGCCAAAACAACATGCAATGTGAGCTAGTGAACATGGATTACACTACAAGCATATGAAGCATTCAAGAGGCCACTAAACCAGCAAAATTCAGAGATATGACATGCCAAATAAAGCCTAAAAACCCATTGAAACATGATCAATGCATGCAAGAATGACATGCTCCTTTGATAGACTATAAGAGGGGTTATTCTACACATGCAAGAGACACACCCAAGGTGACAAAACCAACTTTGGACAGACCCTAGGTAGGACCTAAAAGTCACTGAAGAGGGCCTGAAACAAGGCTTGGAGGTGTGCAAATGAAGGCTCCTTTGTGAGGCCAAAAATGCTAGTGAACAAGACAAGGAGGGAGAGGGTCACCCCTCACTGATTTGGGCTCTCAAAAAC